AAATAACATTTAAAATAAAATTAAAAAAAATATTCTTTCAGAACATTTTTTTTTATTTGTCGAACGAATGAGCATTATGAGTCGTGCATTTTTGAATTTGCCAAACTTTTTTTTAAGGAAATCCTTTCGCTCCAGTTGAGTCAAAACAATTGTAGTAGTCAATATACGATAAATTAAAAAAAGAAACCCATAAAAATTCCTAAAATTAAATAATAAATCGTATATGAGGCATTAATCGTTGAAATTTTGAAAATAAAAAAAAAAAAAACAGTTAAATACAAAAATTAATTTGACTCTTTCAAATCAACTGCTAGTAACCTGTCCGTGATTTGGCAACGCTGTACTTCGGTTGTTTACATTTTCATTTGCACAATATAATAACCTTAACCACGTTTAAGTTTTTGCAGTCAGTGTAAATAAATAAATTAGTTTGAATTTATTGAATGGTCTGAAGCTCGCGCGTTACGCAACGTTGCCAAATGTTTTGACTCCATTTTAACGTAGGTTACTTGAGAATTTTTTGTGATTTTTAAATATTAATTTCTCAATAAATATCTCGGTAACTGATATATTTTATTGCAAAAAAAGAAACCTGAATATTTCGAAAATCTAATTTTTAGTTTTTTTTTACTTCATCTAATCCATGACTGATAGTATAATTCGAGAAATACTGCAAACGTCTGACTTTCTCGTAAGATTCTGAACAAATACTAACATTTAAAAATTTTATTTTTTCAAAAATTTGTCCGGTAAAGTATAATTTAAACCTCACTATTAGATAAATAAGGACCTTAACTATTAGAAAAAAATTGAATTTACTCATATAATCTAATATTTTTTATTTTACATTGGCGGCGAAAGGACCTCCTTAATCATATCTTTCTTACATTCTCCCACTCTTTCTATTCAACATCGATATTCACAGAGAGAAAAATGTTGTCAAAATGACTATCCAACGTAACTTCGAATGACGTTTCGTCAAAATAACAATTTGGTTATCTAATTTAAGGATTCATTTGTTTAACTCAAGCATATATTGAATAGCTCTGGTAAACATATACAGCTTCGTTGAACCAGACACTGTTTTGTCAACGTGAAGATTTACATAGCTGAATTCAAGTGAATTCAATGCCTAAAATAATAATACGGTCGTCATTTTGACGATCCATTGCGAGGAAAGTGAGGAAACGCTGAATTGGCTATACGGATGTTCATTTTAACAATATTTTTCCCTCTGTGTTATTTTAACACTGCTTATGTACACTGATAAAAATATGAAATTGACTTAAAATAAAAAACCTTAAACGAAGAAAATCATTAAGAAGAGTTTAAATATCTTGAATTGAACAGAAAAGTTATTCAGACATTTTTTTTTTTTTTTTTTTTTTAAGTATATTTTAGTTACTTTACGAATTTTTGTTTTTGATTAAAAATGATGTTCTTGGTTTGAGATTTTTTCTCTGAAATGAAGTTTATTTTTTATTTACCAGTATAAAAATACAGCCAATATCTCTTCATTCATGAATCCGTGAATATTATTGCTGATTCAAAAGTCAGGAAGTACATAAAATTGACTATGTAAGTATCCTCTAGTTCTATTCATAATAATCTCTGATTGCAATCAAGTTGTATTCAGGCGTCCTTGATAATCAATAAGTACTTTTATAGAAATAAATAAATTTTATCGTTTTTAAGAAGTTTAGCATTCAAGTTATTTTTCAAGTTTTCAATGATCATTGATCTGAAGATGAATGATTAGCACACTTAATGTTTCAGAGAATAAACTCCGATCTTTTCTGTATTAATTAAAAAAAAAATTTTTTTCTTGAATAATCTATGGCATTTTTTTTATCGGTGTTAGTTTAAGAAAAAATTCTTAAATGTTAAATACTTAAAATAATATAAAAAAAATATATTAATATTTTATTTTGACAAGGTCATGGAAATTAAATATCAGATAAAGAGACGTGCAGACTACCAGTAAGTAGACAGCCTGATAGACGTATACAATAAAGGGGAGACCGTCGGATCACGAACGCAGGATGCGACCAATGAACTTCCTAATAATTATTTACTTTTGTCAGACTCTATAGAAGAATTATTTTGAATATCTCATTTAAATTGATTTAGATATACTTCTCTGAATTTATATTTAATTTCGAAGTGGTGTCATTACTTATTAATAATAAAAGCTTTATTATTTTTCGATGAAAAAAAATACTTTTTATTCGAAATAAGTGATGAAAAATGAGAATATATTGATTTGTTAAAAAAAGAGTGATTTCTATCTATACTCAGCAAAATTTTTATTAAAGTCATTGCATGGATATATGGTTTTTTATAGAAATATTTTAATATATAAAAGGGTAGAATATATATTTTTTAGGTATAAATATTTAAACATGTGTGTGTGTAAAAATTTATAAAATATTTCTTCTATGATACTTTTATTCTAGAAAGTACTATAGGAAGTTATATTAGTCAAAAGTTAATTTTTTCATTGTAACATATAATTACTGCCGTTAATTTAAAGCTTTGTATTAGTATTATAGGCGCACAGAGATAAATGAGTTCTTTATCAAATTATGTTATATACATATATTTTGATTAAAGAAAAATTATTTCTAAATAAATGAGTACTTTTTATGAAAATAAGCTATGGAAAGAATTTCAAAGTAAATATCAAGCGAAGCTTCTCTCGTGGTGTAAATAAAATAATCTGGGCCACAGTTAATTATTCTTTTGTATATAAATGTTGCTTAATTACACTGTAAAATATACTTTGTCAAAAGAATTTTTCCATTCAAGAAAAAAAAAAAAAAAAAAGATCTGTGAATTTATAGAAAATATTTGAATTTTATTGACTTTTGTATTTATTAAAAAGTATAATATAGTTCCATTTTTCCAAGATAATTTATATCTGATGGCTTATAGGTACCTCGAAAAACATGCCAAAAAAAATAGAATAAGCTTTTGAGAAAATTTTTGTCAATTCTATAATAATACAAAGCATCAGTAAAAGTTTAAATGACTCATAAAAAAAAAAAATTTCTCTAATTATTATTTATAATATACTTACAGGGAAAAAACTAAACTAAAAAATTTACGCAACATATATAACATTAAAAAATTATTATACTTTAACATTTAGAAATATATTAGATAGCATTTATTATACTATTTGAAATAATATTTATTATTATTAGAATAGTATTCATTATAAATCAATATTTATTTATTTTATTTTAGTTTTTTTTCGTGTACTAATTATTAATTTTCTCTGAGAATTTTATATAAAAACAAAAATTGATGATCATTTTTCAAGGTTTTATACTTTACATTATAATGATAAAACTATTGCTTTAATGACTATATGTATAAGTTTAATTTTTTTTTAATTATAACAAACTCTCAAATGCAGAATGTTCAATTATTTTACTATGTTCAAATCTATATGTAATATGTAATATATTTAAAAAAAATTAATTTTTATTTTTAAAATAGTCAATAATTTTATTATTAAAAATTCAATCTTTTGTTGTAATTTAAGAGTACAGTAAGAATTTACTGAAAATTCTTAATTTGTTTTATAGAATCATTACAATAATTATACTACTATTGTATATGATAAAAAAAATCAGAATTATAAATAAAAAATTTAAATATATAAAAATGTCGAAGCTATAATTGAATACTTTCATCAGACGACGGTAAAATAGATTAGAGGAAAACTCATGTGGAGGAGAACTACTTGAAATTTATAAAATAAAAAGAACTAGTGTGTATGTAAATGGATGTGAGTACACACAGGTAGTTTTTCTATTCTATGTGCCTGCAGTAATTAATCTGCTAGTAGAGTAATTGATCTTCGACAGAACGTGTGTGCACTCATACGTGCATCATGTTACCTTAGGTAACTAGCTATCGTCCTTTGTATTATACAATACATATCCCGTCCACTTGGTATTCTATTTCTTCATACTTGTCGTTTTAATTGTCTTTGTATCACTTTGTGTGATATGTAAATAAATACAGCTTGTACGTGGGTGGTTCTGAATGACCATATTAAGCGCACGAACTTTGACAGAAGATACAAGAGCGCAAATATAATATAATAGGTATGTAGGTAGATAGGTGTTTAAAATAAATAAAATACACTTTACCTGAGTCGGTGTCAGATGAATAAGAGACGCTAAATGTTCTCGTTCAGGTGCACTGAGGTACTTTTGCTGTTTAAATCGCCTTTCTAGTTCGTAAACTTGAGCTTGAGTGAATAGAACTCGTCGTTTCCGTCGCTGTGCCAGGGGAAATTGCATCGCTCCGACACCCATACCGACGCCGACGCCAACGCCAACGCCTACACCCATTCCCGATGACTTGCCAACGTCTGACATCGACTGGCCCACAGAACATCCTGCCATGTTGCTCCCAGCACCCGCAGCTCCCATTAGCCGCGAAACTGCAAAACATATTTTTCCGGTACCAAATTATTATGTCAATTAACATCATTATTGAGATTTATTATATTTTATTTAGAAATAAAAATAATTGTTAATGCATTTAAATTTTTCGTTTCATTCTTAATACACGGTACGAAAAATTGATTTATACACATAGAAAAAAAAATTTGATTCAAGACAAAAATTCTAAAATCAAGAAAATTATTTTGAAGAATTTCACCGCACGGAAAAAAATTACATTATAAATAGTAAAATAAGCGTCGCTTTATAAAAAAAAACTAGGAAAATTGCGCAGTTTGAAATAACATTTTTATAAATTCAAACTTTGAATGTTAATTTTCAAAGCTTTCAATGTAATCTATATACATTTTACAATGTAATTCTTACAAAATCTGTAGTAATTACAATCTGAAACTGTAATCTTTCCAGTTTTTTTATATAAAGCGCCACGTTACGTTATATAATGTAATTTTTCTCTTTTTCTTTTTTCCGTGCGTTTTAAATCAAGTAGATAAATTCTTAAATCAAGAAATATTTACTTAAATCAAGGAAAATTATTTGGTTCAAGAATTTTTTTCTTGAGTCAAGTTTACTTTTTTTTTCAGTGTAGGTAGAATACATAAGCGAAACATTATAATCTATAAAGTTGTGTATTCTCTATAAAAAAAACAGTATTCAATAATAAATTTCAATAAAATTTGGAAGTGTATGTTATTTTTTTTTTTTTTTCGAGGTACAAATAAGGTTTTACATTTTTATTTGCAACCAAATATTTGTATTTTGATAAAAATTTGTGTTTTAATGGATTATCTATGACATATGGAAAAGTTAAAAAAACATATGCACTCAAAAAAACATATATACAGTGTAGAAGAGATGCATAAAAATATACAAAATCTTAGAGCTGGATACAGTGTCATCCGATTATTGATAGTAATTTCGTTGGGAGTAAGTTCTTAAAAATCCTAAGAAGTTTATCCTAAACTAATTAAAATTTTAATTAAACTATATTCTTCTTTAAAAATATAGATTAAATCTAATGACTTCTCTCGAGAACATATAAGAAATAATAATAATAATAATAATTTTTATTGATAACATTACCTTGATTATAAAAAAGGGATATTATTGAATGACTAAGTTAAAGTTTGTGAATGACGCAATGGTATATCATGAGTACAATAAGTCAAAAATATCATCACTTGAATTCTCAAGTGATTGAAAACGATGAAAACAAAATATGTGTATATAATGAGACGTTGAAAATAGTAACTGAAGATTAAGTTCAAGCTACTGAGCTGAGGAATGAGCAGCAACACCCTTCGTCAATCGCCGGGAAATATGTTAGACAGTTTAACAATGAAACGACTTGAGCCGAAGAATTGCTTGGTCATTCGACACGGGAGGTCCCACGGATAAATCTGAATTATTATAATAATAATCACTGCAACCAACCAACTCTAAAAGTTAAGAATGAAAATAAAAAAAACAAAACTTTTAAAAGGGATAACATCTTTCATTCAAAATAAGATATCTAAATTATTTAAAATGACACGTTAACTAACTTTTGAGAATAAAACAGGTATTATGTTAATATCAAATAATACAATCAAATTCCTATGATGTATTTATTGAGTCTAAATTATTATGAGTTAACAAAAATAATAAATGCTGTATTTTTTTTTACTGTGAACTACGATAATCGTTAAAATGATTTTAAATATAAACATAAACAAATAATCTAAATAATAAAAGATCTAGCTTTACTGTACGCGATTTTTAAAGGGTTTGAATGAGCTAAAAAAATCGAACGCAGAGAGAGTATAGTATTTGAAACATGGAATCCGCGACTTAGGATTCTATCCCCTGTATACATTGAAAGTAGTATAAGAGCTTTCATGCATATTTGTTTAACTAAAATCTCTTGTTCCATCTATTCGCCACGCGTCAGCAAATCGATATTTGATTTTGGTCGGTGAAATATAACGATGACAATAGTTTAACTACTACATTTATATACACATAGCAAAAAAATAAAGATCGTGCGTGCTGAAACAAAAGACAAGGAAGATTGTCCGAAAATAAATATGCGTATTTACACAGACCATAGATGTCTTTTCCAATGTGGACACTGAAAGAAAAACCTGATAGCTGAAATTGACTCTTGCACTTCACTTAGTTGCTATGTATAATATAATAGTCTACACTAAATATACTATACTGCACTCTCTATTAGAACCAGTTCTAAAGCACGAACTTCCGTCTCAATCATTTAAGAATTGATCTGGATCGAAAAATAAACTACTTTGAGTGTTAAACTGCTTCAGAATGACAATATTCATGACATAGACATGACAAAGGACTGTTACAGAAACTCATCGTATGTTGAATAAGACACTTGTGTACCTACTTTGAAAAAAGATCCTCCAGCATTATAATGGTCAGAAAAATATCCACTTATATATCGACGTTCTAATAATTAGTAAATTTAACTCCATTTCAGAAAATCCTTTATTTACCCGAACTAAAAATGTAATAAACTAAAAATTTTTTTTTATATTTAAAAATCAATTTAATATTTAGTAAGATAAAATTTTAGCCGAAGTTACTCAAATAATATTTTTTCAGACTATTATTATTTGAAAATTTCCAGAAAAAACTCCTCAGAAATATGGAGTTAGACAGTTTGCTAATTAGAATGTCGATACTCCAAGTAGTAAATTATTGAAGTCAAATTATGTTTTTTAGATAAAAAAAATTATTTTTATTTTTCTAAAAAAAACTTCACTAAAATTAGTAAAACAGACTTTCTTTGATTTAAGAAGTAAAAGTTTCTTGTTTCAAAAGAAAAAGTTTTCTAGCTTGAACAAAATTTAGGATTTTCTGAAAGATTTCTTCGTTCGAATAAACTTTTATTCTGTGTAACTGTTAACTGATGAATTAAATATTGGATCTAATAAGATGTATCTCACATTTAGAAAATTTTTCAGCAGACAATAAAAGTGAATCAATATTATCATTGGTTAGATATGATTTGACGGATTATAATATTTATATAAAAATAATTATTCAACGATTTAATCTCTAAAATTTTAACATGAACTGGATGATATTATTACACTGGAAAAAAAGTTAGCTTGAGTGAAGAGAAAAAAAATCTTGGGCCAAGAAAACTATTTGAAGAAAAATTTCTTAGGTTACGAATGTTTTCTTTGGATCCAAGAAAATCAGTTTTCTTGGTTCAGTATTCAAAAAGAGCGAACAAATATATCCCAGGTTATATTTTTTTTTGTCTCCTGCTATAAAAAAACTAATAAAAAATTGGCACATAATTAGGACTTGTATATAATGGGAAATATTGGATATCGATCATAATATATATAACTTTATGAACTGAAACATAAAAATTTAACTATACTCACTGGCAAATCGTGGATCATTAGTGGTAGGTGGTGCGGGTGCATACCAGGGATGATGATGAGAGGAAACAGCATGTGATCTCATAGGATCAGAAGCAGAACCCCCGGCACCAACGCCTGGCCCAGCATGATGATAGGGCGATAATTCGGCCGCACAATATTGATACTGAGAAGTTAATTGCATTGTAGCATAAGGATTACCCATGGCACTCATTCCACCATTTCCGATAGCCGAACCGGCTCCACCACTACCGTTTGCACCACTAACAGGTCCTGGTGTACTACCTCCTGGTGTTGAACCACCGTGAAGCGGTGGGCTTCCACTACTAGCGCTGGAACTTCCTGTATTACCACCAACTCTAGCGCCACAAGCGTTTGTATAAGGTGAACCTTGAGGGTGTGATACAACCCCGACACCAACTCCGACGGCAGCTGCTGCTGCTGCAAGCTCTAATTTACGATAAGACTCTTCTATTGGGGACAAAATATCTGTTACACTGAACGGCGTTGAATGGGCACCACCTCCTTGTACGTGAGACGTATGTTGCTTAGGGGACAAGCTCATCGCCAAATCGACTCCATTGAGATCCGGCAGGAGTCCGGTTTGCTCCAATTGGCTTTGCTGTTGTTGATGTTGGTGATAACTTGTAGCATTATTGCTACCTTGATTGCCAGCATTTCCACCTCCGCCACTGCCGCCGCTCATCTCGGCGAAATTAACGCCGTTTAAATACTTCAGGGTAATTTATTTTTTTTTTATTGTTTATAATTTTAATTATTAATTTCCACCTGATGTTAAGTTTTAGTTAATTAAACACGTATCAAGAGTAATATATCATGCGGATTTAAGTAAAAAAAAAGAAAATAAAAAAACAATGACACTTGTTACTGTTTTTAAGTCAGTACTTAGATGATTAATAATAAAAATGAAGATATATATCCTTAGAGTTAATCACAATGCACTTATATAACAGCACTATTGCATAATTTAAAATAAAAATTAAATTTCACTATTTGTCACCAAAGTATTATTAAAAATATATAAATAAAAACAAGTCACTATATGACAATGATATTAAGTAGCTAAAGCCATACCGGCTTATTATGATCAGACGTCCTGGTCCCTGGAGTAATAAGTAGCACGTGTCTCATGTCCGCACAAATTTAGCCAGTTCACAGTAACACTTGGTATGACATTAAACACTGTTTAGTTTAACAAATTGACCAAGGAATATAAAATAAAAGCACGTGGACGAGGAGTGGCCGGCAGAGCCGGCCGGCGGCCGACTGAAATCACCCAGAGGGTCTTCAAGTCCTTGGACTCTGCCGATAGACGATGTGCCACTCTACTCTTCGCCTCCACCTTCACCGAGGATACACTCTCTCTCCGTAGAGAGGAGCGGCTCTATGGATAAATGGATGGCTGGCTGGATGGATGGATGGATGAATGAATGGAGAGGACTGTTGGGTTCCTGGAGAGGTCCTCACGGCCGCTTAGACCCACTCGACCAACGTTCGCTTGCTCGCTCGTTCGCCCGGGCGGCTCACAGCCTCACGAACCCGTAGACCCGACACGATGAGTGGAGTGCCCACTACGGAGAAGTGCCTGGTACCAAGAGTCGTGATGAGATGTCCCCTTTTGCGTATGAGAGGACTTTACTTGGGGAGAGGGGACTCTACAAGAGCACACCAGACACCCCACCATTGGTCCAATTCTACCAATCCCGGTAATACGCCCTCTTCATTGGCTCCTGTCATTCCAGTTCCTTTTTTCACCATGTGGGATTCTCTATCAGTTCGTTGGTGCTTTCATTTCGACATAGAGTTCCTACCAGCCTATCCAACGTGTTTCATCTAGAGTGGGGATTCTCAGCTTCAGCCATGGCGACTCTACCTAGTACAGCCTACTCGGGGATATCCTAATTGTACTCTACGTCCACAAAAATTCCACGGCACATACTATGTGATTTAACTATCATATATATATATATATACATACATACATACGTACCGTTCCCAGTTGATTGAAATTTCTCTCTAAAATCAACATTCTATACTAAGGGGTACATAATTCGCGGTTTTAGACAAATTAATAAAACAGTCATAATTTCATAACTTAATCCAATTGTTAAAGCATTTGATCAATCCTCTTGAAAGAAAAAAAAAAAAAAAAAAATTAAAAAAAAAATATTTTTTGACATTTCCTGCAAGTATAATAAATTTTATTAAAATTTCTAAAACTTGTGAGACAGAACTTTGTTGTCTTACTTACCCTTTACTTGTTATCATATCTTGACAGGTATGTAAAACTCATGAAAATTCTTATGATTATTAATTATATATACAAAGATATGAAAAATGAAATTTTACAAGAGTTAAAATTATTAAAAAATTACATTAACTTTTTAATTTATTGTAATTATGTTGATATAGTTGATAGCAACTTACTCTGCTACTTGACTTTATTATATTCTGACAGTAAGTTTAAATTAAACAAATATTGTAAACAACAGTTGAAAAATCAGAAATTGTTATTTGACAAAAATTTCTCATTCGTCTCTGACATATCTACTGTCGTTGCACTTTGACCCACAGAATAACAGAATAACTACCCCAACGCCACACTGTACAGTGGCCACTAAGGAAAACTTTTCAGAGCCTTCAACCACTATGATCTAATGACGACATCTAGTGAACTCGTGAAAAAATGCAAAATTGCTAAAAATTTCTAGACATTTTTCTTATAACTTATAACCTAATTTAAATAGAACTGTCATCCACAATTGACAGTCTCTTTATTATTTTAAATAAGTAAAATTAATTTATTAATCTTATATAATGTTCAATATTGGAGTTTAATTGTTGCTGGTTCATCAAACTATCATTCAGGTAAATTAATATAATTTTATTTTAAATTTATAATAAAATAAAAAAAAAAACAAATGCATATTTTGTAGCAATGAAAGTAATTTAATGTGATTGTAAGTTGTAAATATATATTTAAACTCCTCTATAGGGAGGAGTATTTTATTGGGTAAATATTATTTGTAAAGGATTTATGAAAATTAATGGATGAGAGTAATTACGATTCTCCAGACGAATATACAAGCCTGATGGACGCCCACGTAGCTGAGACACGATCTGACAGCTCTGGTCTGGTCAGTGAAAAGAGAAAACGTCGTGCAAAACCACCCACCAACTATGAAGTATGATTTTTAAATTAGTTTTAGAATAAAAATTAAAAATATTTCTGAAGATTATAAAAAAACTTTGTTTATTAGGATGGAAGTTTACCAGAAGTGCGCGTAGAAAATCCAGGTTCATCTGGATTCTTCAGTAGTTCTAGAAATGCTCCAGCTCTCGGTCCAGGTGATGATCCAGACAGCTACCAGCAAGAAGAGTTTGAAGAAGGTTTAAAGTATGGAGCGACTCATGTCATTAAATTATTTGTTCCTGTTTCGTTGTGTATGCTGGTAGTTGTAGCAACTATCAGTTCCATTACATTTTATACAATGAAAGGAGAATATTTAATTTATACACCATTTCACGATGATGGAGCAGATACTAGTACTAAAGTTTGGCAAGCAGCTGCCAATGCAATGATTTTAATGTTCGTAATAATTTGCATGACTGTACTGCTAATCGTCCTCTACAAATACAAATTTTATAAATTTATCCATGCCTGGTTGATAATGAGTTCATTGATGTTACTTTTTATTTTTACGGCGCTATATTGCGAGGAAGTATTAAAAGCTTACAACATTCCGATGGATTTGATAACACTGGCAATAATTTTATGGAATTTTGGAGTCGTTGGAATGATATGTATTCATTGGCAGGGTCCGCTAGCCCTTCAACAAGCTTATTTAATATTTATTGCCGCTCTTATGGCTTTGGTATTTATAAAATACTTACCCGAGTGGACGGCGTGGTTTGTTTTGGCTGTTATTAGTATCTGGGGTAAGTTTTTTTTCTTTTCATATTTTCAATTGTATATTTAAAATGGAAAAAAAACAAATATTCTGTTTTACTTTTTAGACTTAATTGCCGTTTTAACACCTAATGGTCCGCTGAGGGTGTTAGTAGAAATGGCTCAAGAACGTAATGAACCCATTTTCCCAGCTCTCATTTACTCTTCAACAATAATGTACAGTTTTACTGTAAGTTATGCCGGATACTTTGGAGCAGCAACGATGGCCAATGATGAATCTGCTGCGGGAGATAGTGTAAGGTCGCCAGCAAGAGCTCAAACAAGAAATAATACTGCATCAGTAAGTGGAGATGAGGCCGGATTCACAAGAGACTGGGTAGACCATCATGGTAAAAATTTAATTTATTTTTATACTTCCATCTTATTTGTACAAAAATAATCTAAGTATTAATAATTTTTATTATCTGTACTATTTTAAAAGATGAACGCAGCGCGCGGAGAGCTGAAGAAATTAATCGCACTGGAGAGTTAACTGGACGAGTAGAAGTACAACCTCAGCAGCAATATCAACGAAATGTTCCTGACGAAGAACGTGGTGTTAAATTGGGACTCGGTGATTTCATTTTTTACAGTGTTTTAGTTGGTAAAGCATCAAGTTATGGTGATTGGAATACAACTTTAGCTTGTTTTGTGGCTATTCTTATTGGACTTTGTTTAACACTTTTGTTACTTGCAATTTTTCAAAAAGCTTTGCCAGCATTGCCTATATCAATAACTTTTGGTTTGATATTTTACTTTGCTACTCGCGTAATTGTTGCTCCTTTTGCCGATAGTTTAGCAAGTGAACAAGTATTTATTTAGCTTTAATTTTTATATATACAATAAGTATATATAAAAAAGACTTATTAATTCCAAGACTTGTAATTAATTAATTAATTATTTACATTTATGCATATGAAAACTTATATTTAAAATTTTTTGACTAAATATAATTATAATTAACAAATCATTATTGAATTTGCTCTAATTAACTGTCAAACAGGGTTAATAATTTTTTTTATAACATTAAAATAAGAATTTATTAATGTTATTTCCTTTGTTTATATACATAATGTCCAATGTTTATGATCACATTGTAAAAAAAAAAGCAATTGGAAGAGATTACTCCCGATATGATGTTTTATGAAGTATACAGTAAATATTGTATTTTTTTGCTATTTATACATAACAATACATATTACTATAATACATGAAGTTTACATATTAGCGCCGTTATAAAACGCTGGGACTGACAGATATCAAAGAATTGCACAGCCATGGGAATGATTATGATAATGCACTTGATATAATTAGACCACATAATTACTATTGAAATTTAATTTTAGTAAACATTTTTATTTTTACTTACTAATGCTCATAATGGTTTAGGCGAGATCATTTCGATCAGTATTCTAGAGGTTTATGAAAAATTTATAACATTTTCAAATATAATTCTTTTTTAAAGGTAAATATTATTGCATTTTTTACGCCTATTTAAGTACATAGCTATTAATTAATTAATTAATTAAATATTCAATAATATTTTAATTTTAAGCATTTTTTATCGACCAATCAAAATTTTTAGAGTGGCGGGTTTTTCCATGCTTTTTCATAATTTTTTTGTGTAATTTTCATCTGTTGCTTAGTAATAATTAGCAAGAGGAAGATTAACAGCAGTATAATTCTATTTTGTAGGTATTGAATTTTAATTTTTATTGTACAAATTTATTTATGTCAAGACTAATGATTAGAAAAATTAAATTTTCCGTCAAAATAACGATTCATCTAAAATTGCATGAAAAGCTGTCAATTGATCCAAAAAATAAATATGTCTATTTTTGGTACCTATCGCTATTAATATTTTTTTTTTTTAATATATATATTGTATAAAAATCAGGTCAATGATTACAATTTAATTTATTTTAATGATTGGTTCATCGTGAAGAAAAAATTAACTACTATTGTGTATTTTAATCCTTAATTAATTGTTTGAATACTGATAATTCGATTAAACGATTATACATATGCCAAACTGATATAATGAGGCTACCATTAAAACTTAAAAAATTGTGCACTTTTGTCATAAATTAAAATAGATTTAACAATTCGCGATAGCTTCGTGAATATTTAAAAATGATTTCTTACGAGTTTACTAGTACTCAAATAAGATAACAATAAATATCATGATTTAAAAATTGATAACTACTACTTATTTAATTCATCAGACATAAAAACAAATACGAAAATAAATAACATGAGCCAATAACGAGGCTCAATTATTTTTTCTTAGCTACCGTCAAATTTAATACCTTCAAATGGTCCACGACGAAAAAATGGACTAAATTCAATTAACGATTGCTTGTCTATATTACAAAGATTGCCATGAAATTTGTAGAGAGATTCGCAGGTGGGTAATTCGGAGCAAACTTGTATGAGTCGTCGTAAGTACTCTTCAAGCCGTTTCCTTCGTTGACGCGCGACCACTTCATATTTTGCAAATACTTGTCTCGGTGGAAAATGAATTGCAGACACCTAAAATGAAATCAATTGAATAGTATAATAATTAATTAATTAATTGATGAAAAAAAATTATTTAATACGTGAATTTGATATCACATACTTTGCCATTATATTTCTGACGCATGTAGATACAAAGCTCGCGAAACCGCCGATAACGACGTAAAAGTGTCCAACTGTCATCCTGCACGACTACTCGTACTTCATACTCATAATGACTGGACGAACCAGCACCTCGGATAACATATGATGGCACAGTAACTATCATATTTATGACATTGTCTGCTGTACTATCGCTAGGTATTAAGGAAGGCAACGACCTGGTAATAGAAAGTGCATAAGGACTTCCTAAACGATCTCCACGATTTAAACTCTGGAACAAAAATAATTTCTTTGTTATTTTTTTGTCTAGTTATAATGTATTTTGATTAAAGTTTTAAATTAAACAAATTAGTTAATACTAAATTTTATACTTACTGTAAGATAAACAGAAGAATATCCCCGAGTCGTCGGTATCCTTGGAGTAATCGATTGATTTGTTGTCTGTTCATCGATACGATCACTCATGGTATCTCTATCGGACTCTTGTTGATTACTTCCAGATGGTAAATTCCAATTACCATCGTCCTCAGACTCAGTTTCACCATAATTAACTGGTAGTTCTGTTTGAGATGTTCCTTTTGGCATTTGAAATCGTTTTTCCTGTTTTAACAACCATACTTCTAATTCGATCTGCTGTCTTTGAAAATCTTGAAGGACTAAAATCTGTTGATTAAGATCATCTTTAGCAGGACTACTAGTTTCCAGGCACTTCATTACGACCATTCTCTGTTGGTTGATCTGTTCATTCAGTCTTTTCATCTCTTTATTTTCTTGTATTCGCATATCTATACTAGCAACTTCTTGAGATTCAATTTCATCATTCTTGATAAATATATCTTTTTTTTCATCTATATTTGAATTTATTTTTTTTTCTAAAACCTTATCATTTATTTTTTCTATTATTACTTCTTCACCTTCTTTTTCTTCTTTTAATTTAGTATTTGGAGAGATTTGAATATTATTATCCGCAGGATTTGAACTTATTGTAGGTAACAAACTAGTGGATTGAACTTTTTCAGCTGTTTGGTTTTTATATTCATTACTATCTTCGTTTTTATTGATTTTATTTTCCTCCACAATTTTATTTGATTCAATATCTTTAACCTCCGTAATATCAATCTCAGGGAAGAAAGAACGTAGTTCTGGAGAATTAGCTGCTGCTGTATGGAATGTTTCAGTCGTGTCTGTTGAACTAGGTAAATCAGACGGTAATAAGCACAGAGCTGAAGCTATTCTTAATTTACGATTACAAGCATCTTGAAATGATTTTAAATCATGGCTTGAAAGAACATCACTGCTACTACTTGATCGTCCTGGAGAAGCCGGTAATGCTCGTTTTAAGTTCAATGTCAAGCTTTGCTTGCGCTTTAAAATTTCTTGAAGCTGGTCTTGAGTTCTCTTAGCGAGTTGGACCTTTTTTTCTGTTATCTCTTGACCTTCATACTGTAATAATAAATTAATGATAAATATAAAAAATTTACAAAAACAATGTAATAAATAAATTATTTATTTATTTTTTTTTACCTCTAAATACAGCATTTGTCTCTGTTTCTCTGTCATTTCCGATAGTTCTTCTTCCATTTTATCAACTTTCGTTTGACGTTCACTTAGAGATTTAACTTTAGTCTGCAGTTCAAATTCTAAAGCAGCTAATTCTTTTTTCTGAAAAATAAAAATTTAGTTTAGCATTTTTTCAGAATAAATAATTATTAAAAAATTTGATAATAATAATTATATGTACATGATGATTCACAAGTTCTTTCATAGCATCCAATGAATTTTGATCGTTAAAACTGGACCATGATTCTGGCATACTCTCATTACTTACTGCATCATCTGTCTGTAAAATGAAATATTGATTACAAATTTTTATGAGATTCATATAAATTAAAAAAAAAAAATATAAATAAGTGGGTATCTTCTTTAAGACTGAAGCCGAGAGGTTTTTTCGATCAGACATTAGTGATGAGCGATGAAAAAATATATCAGTCTGAGTCTTACCTTTTTCCATGAATGTTGGCGTTTCTGCAAATGATTTTGGTTGTTTATGAACTCTTCGAATTGTCGTAGTTTTGTCTGTAGATTGGTACGTAGAGAGGAGACTTCCCTACACAAATTTTCTACCTAGCCACACATACATACCGTAGCGTTAACAAAATGTAACGGATAAAATAATAAATAACAACGCTTGTACGACAGTTTTAACTCAATAAACAAAAATAAATAATAGTTTATCAAAGCTTTTCTGTCATCAAAATAATTTATAGATAAAATAATTTAAATAATAATAATAATAATAATAATAAATAACATTAGAATGAAAATAATTATAATCGTGAGAAGAATAAATACATGCGGTCTACAAGGATCAAATCGTATCAGAATATCTTACCTGCTGTTACATTGCGAATTGTATACTTTTTTTTCCAACTTTGAGATGCAGAGATTCAAAAAAATAATAATACGACTACTTTTACCCCGAAAAATCAGACAAAGAGTGGGTTTGTTAATGTGAAACGTTAAATATTTAATATTAATAATAATTATGAAATAAATTAATTAGAGAAAAAAAATTTACATTTAAAGGGAACGCGTTGATACATAACACACATAACATACGAAAGAAGTGAGTGCATTTGTATAATACTTCAAGGCCAATATTTGTAAGAAAAATTTATTAACCAACAATTAGAGTAATATATATTTATAACAACAATGTTTTTTTTTGCTTATCATTTCTCTCCTCGCATAACAAACCCATTAAGATTTTTATATTTTCTCTCAATTTCAATATCAATATATGACTTCAATAACTATTTACAAATTATGTTCCATTGTTCTCTGTATAAATTTATCTACAATAAATAGAACATATCACGTCTCATTTGTCCCGGCAATATCTTTGCCATTTATACTAGTATGTAATGCTATGTACAATTAATGAGTATATTTTTGTCAGGCACAAAAAATAATTTTTTTTTTTAAATCGAATTTATAAAGATTCCAATGAGTCGTCAAAAAATAAATGCTTTCTTAATATTACTTTGAATTGACTCCTACCATTTGATGGTTAATTTTTTTATAATGCTTTTAAATCCTTCTCTAGTCCAGCTGAGAGAATAAAAAACATAATTTACAATTTATATGTCACGTCATTTGTAGGTCATTTTATGGATACACCGCGGTCGATTAAATTTTGAAAG